CCCCCCCCCCCCCCCTCCCCAAGCACCCCCCCCCCCCCCCCATTTTCCCCCCCCCCCCCCCCCCTTTCCCCCCCCCCCCCAATTATTCCTCTGTGCCTTTACACAGTCCCTCTGCTGGGTGTGCCCTTTCTCCTTTTACTGACCTTGTCTCTAAAAGAGGGATAATAGTTGTCCTGCTTATCTCAAAGGGCTATTATAAAGATTAAATAATGCACTAGTGTAAAGATGCCTCATAGGCATTACTTAAAACACCACACATATATCAGGTGGTATTATTGTTAGAGCTGATACCTCATTCCATTCTGGACTCCCACACACTTACTTTTCTTCTCCTCTTTTCTAGTCCCCATGAGCAAAGAGTTTAAACCTCTGAGGTCTCTATTTCTGTAAGACTGTTTCTCTCTTTCAAGTTTTTCCTATCTTTCAATCTAACTTTTAATCCCACTTCCTCTAAGAAACTAGTCTATAAAATAGTTTAAAAGCTAATGCACCAATATGAAAGCACAAAAATGTAAAGTAATATACTTTCAAGTGAAGATTGTTTATAAGTGCTGATGGAACACAACGCACAGGATTTACTTGCATCATAAATATCAGTACAGAAGAGTCATTAGAACTAGGTTCTGAAGAGAGCAGGCAAAAGCAGGAGACCAGATGCTACAGCACATCAAGGATGCCTTGCTTCAGGTATCAGTAGAAAGTAGGGATTTATGTGTGTGTATGCAAATGTCTTCTTTTACTCTATTAAGTTATTAACTGGAACAGCAGGGGCAATTTCTGTGCACATTGGGAAATTGGCCCCCAAGTGCTAGACAGACTTAACACTGTGATTATGATAATAAATTATAATCCCAGGCAATGAGCACATTTAACAGATACATTTTTCCAGGGAAAACTTGAGTATTTCTACACATACAGCAAAGGATGGGTTATTGATATGGCCTCAATATCCAACGTCAAAGACTTTGTTAGTTCCAGCAAACACCTCCTGGAAAGAGGCAGACTGAGAGGAGCTGGAAGGGGCTGGCTGTGACAGTTAAGGCCCAGGTGAGGGTAGGTGCATGCTGCCCCAGTGCCTGGGAAAATTATCACTGACTATGTCACAGTCTAGGGGGCAGACCCGGATGGTAAAAACATTTATTAGACAGTAACATTGAAGGATGTGTGGCTGAGGAAATGGAGAAGAGGCCAGGTGTCTTCTCAGGTACTTTCTCTTAGATGATTGAACCAGGGGTTGGTGGTGAGAGGGAACCTGAATGGTGGTGGGGGGACACCTGGTTCAAGCATCCCTGTCTCAGGGACACCTTTTCTGGCTCCTGGGCCTGTGGGCCAAGCTGCGTTGTTTCCACAGCATCTCAGTTTATTCAATCGTCGTGTCTATTACAGTGCACTGGACTCATCAACCTATGTCTCCTGACAGGCTAAGATCTTGTAGCTTCTTGAGGTCAGGAACCAAGCCTTTTTGACTATAGTCCCCAGGGCTGGCACTCAGTACCTGGTAGTCTTTGTTGAATAAATGAACAAATGCTATTTGCTCATTTATTCACAGTCTGTTGTGACAAGTCATATTTTGTCAAAGCAGTCACCAAACTGGGACACACAGGTGTGTATACGCACACACACACACAAACCCCAGCTGCTCTCACCTAGGCTGACAAGCACCCGCTGCAAAGCCTGGTAGGATGACGTCTGCAGGTCAAAGAGGGAGAGTTTGTAGTCCGTGCTCAGCTGCGCCTCATGTCGGATTGTTTCAAACAAAGCAGATGCCCTATAAAGCTGCAAGTACAGGACAAAGAATGTCATCCATTCCCCAGAAACCAGTGTCTAGCTGTTTACAGACTAGAGACAACTTTTGCTCATCTCTTGGTGCACAAAGTAAACATTTTTAAAAAGGTTTGAAAGGATGAATCTTAATTTCCAGTTATATCCTTGTGGACCTGGCATCAGATCACATCCAGTAAATTATAGTTTATGTAACCAATTTTTGGATAAGGAATCTAAAAGACAAAGGTTATCGAATTATGGTCTGAAGAATATAAAAAAAAAATCAGGTATTAACCCAACAACCAAGTGCTGATTTTGATTACAACAAACAAAAAGCCTCTTGTCATCAAGTGACCATAATTCATCACCCCCAGGCCTCATGGTGAAGAAAGATGGGAGTAGGAACAGGTGTGGTGGAGGCACGCTGGAAACAGATGATGCTGGGGAATGAGGCAAAGGCAGCCAAAGGATAGCTCAGGAAGGGGATAGCTTTTTGCATGTGGTTCAGTGCTGTAGAACTGAATCCAGCAATGCCCTCCACAGCAGTACCCCAAGGTCAGGTCTTCTCAAGCTCCCAAAGAGCTGCATGTACTCACACAAACACCTGGGGAACAGACGTTTGACATTCCTAACAGAAACACTGTCCTGAGGCTCTAATGGGCTTCTCTATCAGTGAGGCCACAAGACTTTTCTGATATTTATATGCTGGAAATGCAGTATCAAATTTTACATTTATCCAAACTTAAAAAAAAGAATTCTAAGACTAAGGGACTTAGCCCAGGAGAGAGCTAAGATAGAGGAATGTGTTGCTAAATTTTTTTTTCCTCTGTATTTATCATTATACAATGTAATCATTTTTGTGGCCCTTTACCAATTTCTCACTAACCCCCTCCTCCACCTTTCCCACCTCTGGTGGCCTCAGTTCTGTTCTCTCCTTTATGTGTTGCTAACTCTGCCCTAATTTGCTGTGAGACTTCTTGGTAAGTCTTGGACTCTCAGTTTCTTCCTTTCTATAAATGGGATAGTTATTCTACCACACAGAGTTATTTTGAGGTATAAATTCAGTGACTGAAAGTACTTTGAAAATTGTAAATCACTATAACAATACAAATTTTAACTTTTACAACCAAGAAATTAGAGAATTCTTTAAATCACCTTTCACAGTTTTTTAAGTATAGTAAAATACCCTAATATTGCAGGATACTATGCCACAAATTCAGTCACATCATGTCCTCAATTCTTGTTAGTACCTCAGGATAAAAGCCTTGGTTTACTTATCCTTGTTCCCCTTTGCCTAGCACAGTGTCCTCCACAGTCATCATTTACACACTGGCTAACCAGGTGAGTGTATGGTTATAGATGCAGCCATCTCACTACTCCTCCAACCTAACAGAGGAAGCCTATAACTTCAGGGATCTTTCTGATTTCCAGAGCTAGCATGACAATGGACTTCTACTCAACTATTCACACATAGGCAGAAGTGTAGATTTATTGTGAGACAGGCAGAAAGAGAAGTTATAAGATAGGGTGATGCCCACTTTTATAACATACTCAATTCGCTTTTGTAAAACTGCTTGCTATATGACAAGGTAAATTGATTAAGTTTAAATAGTGTTTGAATTGCTTAGAAAAGGTTGTTGTTTAAAAATCCCTCTCAGCTCTTTAGCCCCCTTAATAGAGGTTAAAAGCTAAATATTAGCCTACACTTAGAGAAGTCTGAATTTTGTTTGCTGTTCCCCGCCCAAGCTGCCCCTGAGCGATTAACTAGCTTGTTTCAGCTTCTGTTATCAGCTTGCGCTAGACCTCCCCAAACCTCCTTCTCACACCAGGATGGTATGTGTGGATGTGTGTAACTATATAATAACTATAAGTGTGTGACTATTTGAGAATTTTAACTGTGTGACTAATGTAAAAATGTACCTTTTAAAAAAAACCCTAAACTTCAAGTCAGGGCTGCTCTCTTCCAAAACTTTCTTGGAGAGACAGTCACTGGCCAGCCAATAAAGACCCCCTTTTAAATTCTCAATTGGGTATTCTGGTTCCTTTTCTGTGCGGCAGCCTCACACAGTTATATCTATTGATATAACTGGAAACCTACATACAGTAATTATGAATTCTTATCTTCTTTCATGAAATGAATATAAGTTCATAACAAAGACTGATGAGGAGCAGCAGCACATAATGCAAGATCTCAAAAGAAACTATTGAGAATCTATCACACAAGTAAGCAAAAATCTTTACTGATGGTTCAACATTTTGGGGCTGGTACAGGCTGGAAATCCTGTACATCAACCCAAGGGTAGAGGTCAGTACTTATGGCAAATATCATCACTACTAGGATAGTAATCCCAAGGTCTTCCACGCTGCTGGAAACAAAATCCACTAGGCTTGGGGGTTCTGCTCACCTGGTGTTGGGCCTCTTCCAGGTTTCCACTAGCCCAAAGGGAAAGGCCAAGACCATGGCGAATTTTTGCTTCATCTTCTCTTCGGCCTAGTTGCTCAGCTAACCGTAAACCTAAAACCAGATAGAGAAATTTAAGGAAACATAGAAGACATAAGTCCACCCTGCCAAGGAGTCCTGGAGGGTAATTTCACTTCAGGTGTATGTAAAAAATGTTAACAATGCAGCTATAAAAAATGTAGGACAGAAGCTGAATCAGCCAAGGCAGAATAAGCATTTTCTTCAAATTCTGTGCTAAAAAGGCCATTTCCAGGACACTCCAAGATGTCCCAGCAAGAGCTCAGGCGATGCCTATCAGCAGGAGACAAGTTTTCAGGGCAGGCAGAAACACTGAAACAACTGGAACCTAACTTGGCTGCCCTCCCAGATGTGAAATCCTTAGCTTTGCAAATAAAAACTCCTGACTGATAAATTTATCAAACCAGAGTCTCTGGCTGGCAAAAGCTTTTCCTGACAGTCAAGTACAGAAGCCAAGATAATACGTTTTCCTGTCTCACATGCACAGCATCCAGTCAGTGTTGATGGAAGACACATATGATGTACTCCTGAGAGCAGAATACACACATGGCCTGACCCTACCTTCTGTTACTAATGCTACTACACATTTCATGTCCAATCTGTTTTTCCTTTAAGTCTGAGACTTTGATGTGCCTCAGCAGGGTGGCAAAACAGGTGCTATTATGAGTCCAAAGCCTTAAATGAGACTGTCCTGATTTTAATAGCCTTTGGAATAGGCACCTGCAGTTTGGGTCACTTACCCACACTAAGCTTCTGGGTTTCAGGACACCAGCAACCTCCAGGGCCTGTGGGAGCCAAATCTGAAGGCAACTATTTATTGTACTGGTCACTGGCAGTTCTCAGCATCACTTTGCCCTCATTATTCTGCTCCTTGAACATAGGAGCTAGCTTGTGTAGAAGACAGCATGAAGGCTCCCACAGTACAACTGCACACACAAGGAAGGACTTCCTTCTAATCTAATTCAGGATGGATGGGAGCCTGACTCTGATCATGCTAGACCTGCGCAATTTCAGACTTCTGAAAAGGAACTAAGACAATTGAGAGGCTAATAAAAGTGATGCTCAGGTTCAAGCTCATATTATGCATTCAAAATGCACATAATTCAAAAAACTTAGAAATAGCATTTTAAGTTTAAATCATGTCATTGGGTAACAAAAATAGCATTTGCAAATAATTCACATTTTTAAACACCTGAAAGGCTAGGAACACACATGAAAGAAGTTGATTCTTGGGAAAAAACAAGGAGGATAGTGGTTGTTCTAACCTTAACAAGCTAACCACATTAATTCTTCAATACAGGTATCCCTGCTAGGTCTGGGTCATTGAGGCAAGCCCCCCTTAGAAGGCATGTTCTGTGAGAGTAGGGACTCTGCTTTGTTCCTGCTATATCCCCAGCACATAGGAAACTCGCTGGCCATTAGTAAGGGGTTCAACAATGAAGAATTAAAAGTCCACTGGAAAGATATATCTGTTCTGCCCCAGCTACTATCTGCTTCTGCCTCTTAGGATTCTGACTCACCCATCCAACTCTCCCAGAGCCTAGTTTACCAGAGACTGGTTGCATAAACCCAGGTAAATCATTAAATTGCTCCAGGCTCCCTTTCTTCATTTGCAAAGGGAGAAAAAGCTGGATGAGACCAGTGATTTTTAACCAGAGGTGTCTGTCCAAATCACCTGGAGAGCTTGTTCAAAAAACTCAAGATGAGGCTCCACCCATGAGATTCTATTACACTGGGTCAGGGTGATGCTGATCCATAACCCCTCTGCCTTTGAAAGCCAGGAGAGTGCGTGAGCATTGGGGTGATTTCCAGTTGAACCGTTCCCTCATTGCAAGAGGCTGCAGGCCCAACTGAGAACACTCGGAAAGTGCCTTCCAGGTGTCCTGCACCTGTACCAGGTCCAGCACAGAGTTCATGAGAAGAGGCATCTGGTTTGCCCCATGAGGGAAAGCATTAGCTGTAGGTTTTCTGGTGGACACAATACAAAACAGACACCGTGGAAATGCTATAAATAAGAGTTTTTACATCTCTGTAAGACATTAAAAATAAGAAACTATAAAACATTTCAGCATTTTCCCTAAAATAGAATTTTGTTACAATGTCTCAGGCAAACCAGCTGTTTCATGGAAATAGTATTTAAGGAAGTACAAAAGAACACAACTGAAAAGTTGTCATAAACTGGGCCTGCATTTAACAGTTTTCACAAATTCAAGTAAAAATCGCCCCTAGTCTGTTGCAATTTTACTACAGTCAAGTTTTAGGGAACCAAAAGCCAACATTGTATTTAATGCATTGAGGCAGAACCCTGCCTGGATAGAGTAGGAGCCAAATAATGGCTGAGAAGCGGCTTCCAGCCTCTCAGTAACCTCTTAGCCTTCAGGCCAGCAGAAAACCACCAACAGCCCCTCACCCATTCTCCATCTTGCTTCCTGCTTCCCTCTCTCCCAGCTTCCCAGCTGAGAATCAGAAGTAATAGAGGATATAACTGCCCAAACCCTGGTCTGTTCTTGAAAGGTTAGAAACAAATCTAGACAGGGTCTTGCATGGTTCCTGGGGTCAGAAAACCCAGGCTGAGCCCCACTCTGCAACTAACCAACTCCATGGTCAGGATCAAATCACTGTATGTCTCTGAGACTCAGGTAACTTAGTTGCAAAAATGGGAATAAAAAGATATACCTCTCAAGGTTATCATGACAATTAAATCAGATTAAATAAACTATACACGCAAAGCCCCTTGGAAACTATAAATGAGTTTTCACTTGAAATCAGCAAACATTTCCTTTTACTAGTGAGCCGAGAGCCTCATATCTGTCCTTTTTCCCTTCTAGGGTGGAAGGATCCAGTATGTCTGTGTAAGGGGGAGGGCTTTAAAGAGAAAAAAGCCCCATCCCAGTGTAAAGTGATATAAACACATTGCTGTGAGACTTCTGCTTCAGAGGAAGAAAGCATCCAATGACTACCTATGCTCAGGTAACTCCGTGGAAACTGATGGCAGAAGAAGAAGACAGGTAGCCAGTTTCTGGGCCTGCCTGGAACAAGACTACGTTGGCAAGCACTGTAGGTAATAAACACTGGTAATAAACACTAGCCCAAGCACTGTAGGTAATAAACACTGGGAAGGAAGCCTGGTGTACAGTTTGAGTGGCCCTCAGACTAATGCTTCTGCATTAGAAGCTTCCATGACAAAATTGACTTCTATATAGTTTTGATACAATTTTAGATATTTTCTAGAGGGACAACAAAGCTTGGAGCAGATGGACGTTTTACTCTGATTCAGACTCTTACAATTTTACAGGATTAGATCTCACTTGATTCATCTTGTATGATAACGTGTTGTTAACCCTGTGGATGTTCCAGAAAAGCAAGGAGGGTATCAGCTCCCTGGGCAGCTGGTGAGCTGTAGATGCCATCACTGAGGGGAAATAAGATAATTTGGGTCCAGAGAGAGCTGGGTAAGATGTTCTAGACAATGAAACACTTTAGTACTCTCAACGAGCATTTGGTGGCACAGGAAACTGGTTCTGGAGTTGAACTGGCAATATGGCCTCTGAGACTCTCACTCCACACAGAGATGGCCTCTCAACCTGTACTTACTTCCCTCTGAGTTTCAAGTTTGACTCTGAACCTGATCTCAAGTAGGCCAAGGACCACAACGGGCCTTTTCACCTACCTTCCTGTAAGTACATAACTGCCTGGGAATAGTTCTGCAAGGCATGATGGGTCCTTCCAAGGCTACTATATGACACTGTCTTGGCCACCAAGTCGTTCATCTGTGCAGCAATGCTCAAGTGCTGTTCTTGATAGACCACAGCCCTCTCGAAGGTACCCAGGGATTCATACGTCAGGCCCAGGTTCCCGTAGGCTCGGCCCTGGCATGTGGGGTTGTTGGTTTCCTCTGCTATCTGCAGATCAAGCTGGTGGTACTGCAGGGCTGTGTCATACTCGCCCATCTGCTGGTAAACGCCCCCCAGGCCACAGGCTGCATCACTCTCCAGGACTCGGTCTTTCATCTCTCTAGCAATGTTCAGCTGGCGTTCAAGGCAGGAAATGGCTTGTTCATAATTCCCTAATTGGCTGTGCAGACTTCCAAGCTCTCCATAGGCCTGGGCTTTATTGAAGGCCTCCCCAAGCTCATGGGCGACCACAAGCCTCTTTTCAAAGCACACAAGGGCTTGCTGCAAACTCCCCATTGCCCTGTGGGGATGGAGACAGAAAAGCAATGATATTATTTTGTGCAGGTGCAGACATTCTAAAGCTCCTGAGAAAATGAAAAGCATTTGTCACTGTCACTTACTATAGAAGCTCTTAACTCCTCTTCTAGCTAAAAATCTATCATGTGCCCTTAGAGTGAGATGCAGAGGAATTTCATAATCTGGAAAGCAATTCAAAAGTCATCCCTTAGTGACCTTCCCAAGAGCTTGAGATTCAATGGGATATATACCCCGGAGGAAACATAAAATATATTAATAGGCACAATGATAGCAAGTGAACTGTTTGGTTCTTTGGGCCTCCCAATTTCCACTACCGCTTAGACTATGTTTTTGAAATCACTCTACAGTGGCTATAAATCTTTCACCCTGAGCTTCTCAGAGCACACTGTGGGTGATGATTTAGTTTGACCCTAGCCCTTCCTCCACTCCAGGAGCCCTAATCCCCTGCCTTTTTGGTGAGGCCGTATATTCTGCAGCCGCAGACACCTTCTTGGTTTCCCCACATTCAGGACAAAAGCATCTCTTTGGCCAACAGTGTGTCTTTTTGTGCTAAGAGATGACATGACAAGAGAGGGAAGAGCATGGATTTTGGCGGCAAACCAAACCAGTTGTGTTGGGCATGTGAATTCCTTCCCCTGAGCCTCAGTTTCTGGTGATAATAAATCCTACATTCATAGCAGATGATAATAGATACATAGTAATACAGGTTGCTGTAACTATTAAGTAAGATATCTATGCAAGGTGCCTAGCATGATGCATGGTACATAGGACATTTTTATTCACAACCCCTATAATTAGGCAACTTTTCCTAAAAGCAATACAATGGGATCCAGGTAATTGGTAGGTACAGATGCTGTATTAATAAACACATTCATATAAGGTGTGAGGCATTCAGAAAAGATCAGTTAAATTGATTCATTCACCTTCCCTATCCCTATTAATTCTTTTATCCTGCTCATTATAATGTAGTCAAAAAGGCACTGCATTTGGATGCAGAGTTCCCTGGGTTTGACTCTCAGCTGTCCCTTTAAAGCTGTATAATCTTGGGCATGCACCCAACCTCTCTGTGTTACAGTTTCTTCTTCCATACATAATGGTAATAATATCACCTGCCAAGTTCAAAGAATTGCTGGAGGAATCAAATGGGATATGTATGAAAATGCTTTGTAGTTGACAAACTGCCATGCAGACATGAAGTTGCCACTACTGTCACCACTGTTCTTTTTGCAGGATTATCAACCACATTTTTGGAGGAATCAAATGGGATATGTATGAAAATGCTTTGTAGTTGACAAACTGCCACGCAGACATGAAGTTGCCACTACTGTCACCACTGTTCTTTTTGCAGGATTATCAACCACATTTATCCTCTGTCATTTTTACCTGTGTCCATTTCCTAGGCCCCGGTAAGCCTTGGCTTGGTCTTGCATGCGGTTCAGACTCTGGGCAACAGATAAATACTGTTCATAGTATTTAATAGCTTCCTCATAGTCACCCAGGGCCTCATAACAATCCCCCAGGTTGCCGTAGGCCCGGCCCCTGTCGAGCACAGACTCATTTCCACTTAGCTGCTGCAGCATGGCCAACTGCTGCTCAAAGTAGCCAATGGCTTCTTCCATCACATTCATGTTCATCTTTGTGATGCCCATGTTGCCATAGACCTGGGCTTCTAGACTCGGATCTTTTAGCTTCTGCCCTAGATCTAGCTGCTCTTCATAGCACTTGAAGGCCATTGTGTATTTCCCAAGGGCCATGTAGACAGCAGCCAGGTGCCCATGAGCTCTGCACTCCCCCGGCAAGTCACTCAGCTCCTGATATACCTCCAGTTCCTGTGTGTGATAACCCAAGGCCTTGTCATACTTCTGGATCATTCGGTATGCAGTACCCAAGGCCGCATATGCACTGGCCTCCAGTCTTCTGTCCTTCACCTGGTGAGCTAAGCCCAGCTGCTGTTCATAGAATTTTATTGCACCATTTATATCTTTTTTACAGATGAATATATCACCCAGGTTTCCTAGCGCTCGAAATTTAGCCTGGGAATTATTCAGGGACTGGGCTAGGGATAGGAGGTACTTCTGACATTCTTCAGCTTTACTGAAATTCAGCAGAGCCTTGAATGCTAGGCCCAAGTTGCAGTAGGCTTTTGCTTGGCTCAATTTGTCATGAAGGTCTTTGGCCAGTGCCAGATCCTGTTCGTAGTACTTCACCGCCTCCTGGTAATTTCCAAGGCAGTAATGAGCATAGCCAAGATTGTGGCAGACCTTCCCTTCTCCTTCCATGTCTTGAAGGTCAGGAGCAAGCCGGAGGTACTGTTCATAATAGGGAGCAGCCTGGACATACTCTCCCCGAGAGCAGTGGAAGTTGCCCAGGTTGCTGAGGGCCCGGGCCTCACTCTGGATGTCTCGTAGCTCCCGAGCAATGTTCAAGTGGTTCTGATAGTGCTGCAGGGCCCGATCATGAGCACCCAGAGCCTGGTAGGCCACGGCAAGGTTCCCATGTGTGGAGGCCTGTGAGGCTCGGTCATTCACTTCCATGGAGATCTGCAGCTCCTGCCGGTGGTACTTGACAGCCTGGTCATGCATGCCCAGAGCATTATAGGCGTTGCCCATATTCCCATAGGCACGGCCTTGGGCAGCATAATCGCTCAGCTCCTGGGCAATACACAGGTGTGTCTTGTGGAGTTTCAGCGCAGTGTCATAATCACCTTTCATCTGGTGTATGATTCCTGAGAAAGAGAATAAAAGAACAGAAAAAGATTGGAATAACTACTTAGCAACTTAGAAAAAATGTAATTTGCAACTCAATTTCTAGTAAAATACAATCTAGATGAATTAAAGAATTTAAAATAACAGAAGGTAGAATTAAATATTTATCAGCTCTCCAGAGGGAGGATAGCTTTCTAAGCTTTGAAGCAACAACAACAAACTTGACAGATTGATTACAAAAATAAGCATTTTTGTACTACAAATACATATCTAAAATTAAAAGGCAAATACAACACTGGAAAATATATGGAACATATATTAAAAAGTTCAATAGCTATAGTGTGTAAAGATTTCACTTGGTTTGATTTTTGAAAAAACAAGACCCCAATTTACTAAAATAGGCAAAGAACTGTAAGTATTAGCAGACAACTCGCATCCAAAGAAATGCAGAGTAACCACTGGGGAAAATGCTAATTTCCTTTAACAATCAAAGAAATACAAAATAAAGCAATAAAAATAAAGAAATACCATTGTATTTCTAATAAATTAGCAAACAAAAAATTTAAACATCACCCTATACTGATGAGATTACCCTGAAATTGGTAAACACACCAATTGCTTTGGAGAACAGCATGTCAAGAACCACAAACTAGTCCTACTCTGACCAGGCAATCCTACTCAAGGGAGAGTATCCTAAGGAAATCGTCTGACAAACAAAGAAGCTATATGCATAACAATCCTCACTGCAGCCTTGCAGATTAGTGGAAAATCAGAAACATCTTAAATGCCAAACACTAGGGAACCATATAAGTGCATTCTGGTATATTAACTCAACAGAGGATTATGCAGTCATTAAAAAGGTAATTATGAAGTCTGCAGAAAAATGGGGAAAAACGTTCTTACAATCATGATAACTGGAAAAAGCAGGAAACCATGCTGCATGCTTCCTGTTACAACAACTAGGAAAATAAATGTGTGCACATGGACAAGACCTTGAAGGGATTATGCAAATAAAATAGTTGTCTTGTTAGGTGAAAGGATTTGAATGATTTTTGTTCTAAAATTTCTTGTAATTCTGCTGCACTGCTTTTACAATCAGCAATAATAGCACATCAAACAACCCTCATAAACTATGCTATAAGCTACTAAGCGAAGCTATTGTTTTTACAAGTATTTCAAATGAGATATATCATAAATGTCATAAATATAAAGTAGTTCCAAATGAGGGATATGTTAACAGTAACTTAGGAGATGGCTTTAAGGAGAGCCTGGTTCATCTGCATTGGGGCTGGAGTGGGGAACACTGGAAAACAGAGTGCTTAGTACTCAAACAAGTTTCTCCTTGCCCTTGGTTTTGAACACACTTCTCCATGTTTCAATGTATGAGCTTTGCAGTGGTGACCAAAAACTGCAGAAGCACAAAAACTTGAAAACACCAAGATGGGTTCTTGTTAAAATGTCTGAACTGAAAATGCAGGCACTGAGAAAGTAAGCTGTCAAAACCCAACCTCCACAATTTGCTCATCTCTTTGACCCCATACGTTCATTCATTCATTCACTCACTCACCCAGCAAACATTAACTATTTATTGTGTACTAGGCCTTGTGGTGGGTAACAGGGGTAGAAAGATAAAGAAGACAAGAGTCTCTGCACTCCGAGGCCCAGAGGGTCATAAGGGAGACAGGTCACAAATGCTATCAGTACACACAATCAGTACTGAAGTTTGGGCTGGGTGTGGAGATCTGCCCTGCCAGAGGAGTCATGTCTAGTCCCGGGACCCAGCCATCTCTTTGACATTAATTGGATTTAGGGTATTGGGTAAATCATTTAGCCTCTCTGAGCTTTAGGTAGTTCACCTATAAAATGAGGAAAATAATAATCGTGATATGAACCTAAGAGGATGGGAGTGAGATCAAATGAAATAAAGTATGTGCATGTGTACTGTAAACTGTAAAGTGAAATTCAAATATTTGTTACTGAAATTATTACATGCTTCCAGGAAAGGGAATTCTTAAAGTGGCAGAGGTTTAATAAACTATGGTAATTCTTCTTGTTTTTATTTTTTTAAATGAATAGAATATTTCATAATTTAAAAATAACTAAATAAATCATGGCACATTTATACAATGAAATATCATGATGACATTTAAAATGGTGATAAAGAAGTTAACATATTGACATGGGAAGAAATTTACAATATATTAAGGGGCTATGTGGTCACTGATAGGTTTTGAACATAACCAGAGCCGTTTGGGGCAAGGCCAAGCACAAAATGGCCGCCAGCCCCTGCCCCCTTTCCTTACGAAAAGCCTCGTGACTTCTGCAAAATAGAAACCCTTTTGGCTCCCACATAGGCGCAATTTTCCACCCAGGTTGCATCAGCCAGGTGGAGCTTCCACACTAGCATAATGCTCCTCCTCGACTGCATCAGCCAGCCCTGGCGCCCTACAACCTATATAAGCTCTCCCACCCCGACGCCTGGTACTGCTCTCCACTTTGAGGGCAGGCCCGGCTGCTGCTCTCCATTTTAAGTGCAGCCTGGCAGATTTTTTTCTTTTAATAAAGCTTGACCAGTACCCAGCGTTTCAGCTCACTTTCTTTCAGTCACAAAACAGTAAATTTTAATGAAAACTTTAACAGCATGTATGTGTACACACACATTTAGATTTGTACATGAACATACAGCATAAAATTTATTTGAATGTTAACAGTAGTAACCTTTGGGTGGTGGATTGCGGTTTTCTTTCTTTTTCCTTATCTGTATTTTCAATGATTTTTCTATAATGAACATATAACCCTTAGTTTAAAAAAAGTATTTTTGAACTCTGATCCAATATGAGAAGTAGCATTCCTGGGGATTGTGTTTCGTCATTTTCCTGGGTTGGAGATGTCACCGGCATCCTAGTTGGAAGGATCAGAGTGTTTCAAAACCTGTCTCAAGGTTAGAAATTCTAAACTCCCCACGAGGAAATAATACCTTAGCATCACCTAGAACTCTTGTAATGATGAAAAATTATTAGTGTAAGAAACACTTTAGTTCGAAAAAGACCTGAATTTACCATGTATTCCTAAATGGCTTTTATCTAAAGAGAAACTTTTAGATTTCAAATTTCCAGTTATCCTTAGAGAAAACAAACCATTTACTCCCTCTCCCCTCAGCTTCTGCATTTCGGAAATGAGGGTCAAAATATCTGCCTAGCTGTGAGTTCATAGTTACGAACAGAGCCAGAGCTGGGGAGGGCAGCAGGGGTGCCCAATCTCCCTCTGAGCACTTTCTCCCACCGTGATGCCTTTGCAATGATTTTCCACCACAGCTTTTGGATTTCATTGCAATGATTTTTGAAGCCAATATGATCACTTGTTGGTTGCTAAGATGATGATAAGAGGAAGCAAGCAGCAAGAGACCTTGAAAGATGGCCATAAGACGAAGCTTGGTTTTCATGTATGGCCCACCACCCCCAACGACAGGTCTCCTGCTCACCCTCCATCCTCCTACAGGGTAGGATTGTACCCTTTCCTGCAGAAAAGGCTAAGCATCAGGAAGGCACACTATAATAGAAAACGGACAGGACTCTAAGTAAGAAGTCCTCTTTTACAATCCTGGCTCTTACCTCATTCAGCTGAGTGTCTTTAAGAAAGTTACTTAATGTCACTGAGCCTTTGTTTTTTTGTATGTTCGTTTGCTTTAATTGAATCTCTTTTGGCATTTTTTGTTTTCTTACTAATAAGGTCAGGTTATAATCACCTCAAAGAAATGGTATGAGAAACATAATAGTATGTATCAATATGTTTTGTAAACTATAACATACTACCTAAACATGGTATTACCAGGATTTAGAGAGGAAGAAAAGGAACTCTATCTCTCTTACTCTCATGGCCTTAAGAGTCTGGGCTAGTTAATAGGGAACAGTTGGGATGATAATGGCTACCCAGGGTTTAATACTTTGTGAAAGAAACTGCCTGCTGGTTATGGCAAAATGATTGGATACCCAGCCATCTTCTCCACACACTCCCTTGTTCTCCTCTCTTCCTCCGCTTCTTACATTTCGAAGGAGAGCCTATAAAGAATAATAGGAGGATTCCCAAAACAAAGACTTCTGTGAACAGTTAAGGGTAAGAGGAGGTGGACCTCACTGAGCTGGGAATTTTTTCATCTGCCTCTGTCTGCACTGTCCCAGCCACTGCCAGGCTGGAGAATTCAGAATGGAACATTACACACTCTTGGCAGCTTTTCTCTTTGTTGAAGCAACATAAAAGCAGCCCTGAGAGCTGCCAGCAGAGTGACTGCACATGCTGAGGAGATAATCTGCAGATCCTCCTTCCCTTTCCAGACCACAGCTTGACTTTCCAGGGCCGTCATTCAGATAAAGACTTACAGAGGGCCTGTCAGCAGGGGCGTGCTAGGTGACAACGTGCTGCAGGGAGGGGAATTAAATGAAGATTAGTGGGGCAGAAGATCCTCACAAAGCTGAGTTCTCACAAGGGCATGTGGAGAAAGGACACGTGGTTATGAATATATACATCACCACAGTAGGCCTCCATCTATGGATCAGGAATGGCCGCTGCCATAGGAATAATAATACCTACTTTGAAGGGTTGTTGTGAGGGCCAATGAGATCATGAGTAGAAGCTAGCACAAGTGTCTGGGACAGAGTAAGTGCTCAATATATTTTGCTTTTATTATTACCCATCACCAGCAAAGACCAAGGGAGGTGTGAACAGGACAAGCCAAGCAGAAAAACTTCTACTAAAAGTAGACCATTTTGCATTTAGCAGTGAATTCTGGTTGCTTTTACTTTTGTGAAGTCTCTGAAAGTAGGGCCTCAGTGTACCTCCATAAACAATGGAAGCATTCTTCTCATTTACTGAAAATATTATTATGATGATTATGACCCAAAACCCAAATAGGGCTTTGAGAGCTGATCTATTCTTTCCCTCGGCTTTCAAACAGATTGAGTTCTGCTCCATCCGAGCCAAATCACCAACCATTCTCAGACGAAACATAGAATCTGGGAACTGC